GTTGCAACCGCCCTTCTGGTCGTCGAACGAAGACGGAGACCTTCGTCGGGAAGGAAATGAAATGACGAGGACGATGACAAAGCTAGTTTCGTCGCCGTCGCCGCGGATGATAAGAGGCTCTCCGGCGGTCGATGACGTTGCCGGCGGATTTGACTGCTCCAGTGGTCGATGACGAGGATGTACCTCCAGAGCATGTTGCCATTGCCGGCGGCGCTGATATGACCGTCGACTCCATTGACGGGCCGTTGCCGACGAGAAAGGGAGAAGAGTGCCTCGAATCTTTTTTTTTTTTGCTACAGATGAGAGAGAGAGAAAAAAGGGAGAGAGGGAGGGAGGGTGACGTGAAGAATTGGGTTAGGTTTTGTGGGAGTGGGGTCCATTAATGATGGGGTAGTTGAGAAATGTCTATATTGCCCTCAATGAGAAAAGAACACAAATGAAAGAAATGAGAATGAATCATGACCACTGAATCTGGCAAGTCAATGGTGATGATTAAGTCAAAATTTAAATATATTCAAACATGAGATGGCAATATTGTAATTAAATGTTAAATTCGTGGTCAAATATATACACTTACCCATTCACAAGGGATAAATTAGACTTTACACATTTATCATGGGGCCCACCTCTAATACCATTAATTAAACACGCTCTCTCTCTTTCTCTCTCTCTCTCTCTCTCTCTCCCTCTCTCTCTCTCTCTCTCTCTCTGTGCACAGACACGCACATATCACACACCAAAAGTGCTCGGCCATCCTGCCACCATACTCAGCCGCGCTTTCAGCCCGCCGCCACTAGAGCGCCTCCGTCACAGTTAGTCACCGCTGCCATCTTAGAATGTCGCCGGATCCGTGACAACTCAGCCACCAGCCACTGCCATCTGCCGGTCTCCAGCCCATCGCTACAGTCACCATCTCCACTGCCCATCGCCGGTCCCCAGCCCATCGTCTGATCGCCGGCCCCGCCGCCTGCCACCATAGCCTTCGTCCGCTGTTGTCGTAGTCAATTTCTGTCGCTCTTCACTCTCAATCTGTCACCAGAGCTCAATCTCAGATTTATACAGACCATCGTCCACTTCTTCCGCCCATCGCACGTCGCTCCTACCCTTCGTCTGACTGCCTGACGCCATGAGATTCGCTTTCCATCAGATGCACTTGCCGGATCTGTGTGGTTAAGTCCCTCAAATCGTCAATC